AATTAAAAAATGATAGCCATAGTAAACACCTTTATAGATCAGTATTCTTAATTCATAATAAATGCATTTTAATACAAATTCCTCCATGCTTATCCATTATTCCATCTTGATATCAGGATGAATGGTATTACAGTTCTTTTTTAATTGCCTAACACAGTTCCTAGCGCATTACAATGGCTCAAAAAATATTTGCTCTACCGGAGCAGATCATTCTACTGGAGGATTTATGAAAACAAACAAACAAACACACAAACAAAAAAACTATTAGGGAACAGGTACTATAGTGGATATGTCAACTTTAGCTGTCCAGCATCTGATTTGAGGGAAACCCCAGACAGATCAGAAGTAGGAACTATTTTCCACTACAAAACTAAAGAGGAGTAAATACTCTTTCTTCTCTCCCTGAAAGCCAAAACACAGGAAGGTAACAAACGTACCTAACTGTAACTGGAAATGCAAAGACACAAGGTCTAACAGCGATTATTCATAGCAGATACAGAAAAATCAAGAATTCAAAGGCATGGCTGTAAATGTGTGGGGGCAATGAAGTCTAGCAGCGTGTTGATGACTGACCAGTGACCAGAGTCTGTAGAGAGAGATGTAGAAATCTTGGCTGTGCCTGGCTTTCCAACAATCCTGCCTAAGCCTGATTTTCTAATCCTCCTGTCAATTCTGTGAGCTACATAGTATTCATTATTCTTTTACTAAATTCATACCCTACTGAAGTTGGCCAGAGTTGATTTCTGTTGTGTGCACTCAGAAACTGGCACCAGGGAGATTACCAGCAAGAGCCCCACAGGTAATTATAGGCAATTTGAAATTGGTTTTTGGCCTAGCAGGCCCAGCGAACGTCGTCTTAGTGTTCACGGAAGGGATTGTGCAAAGGCCTTGACATGGTGTAGTGAAGTAACTCATGACCACTTGTGGCCCCATGGAAAGCTCTAGGTGATTCAGAGAGTGCTGCCAAGAATAAAACAATGTGAACGGTAGGAAGAATTCAAGACTATGAGGCAGAGCATCTGCTACTCTAAGGGCATAAGACAACCTGAATCAAGAGAATATTAAGGTCAAATCCCTAGGAACTAGGCTCAAAGCAGACTGAAACCCAGGTACTTTAAAGAAAAGGGTCTTTTCTCTTACAACAATAAAGCTGAGGTAGCTATTAAAAACAAATGCACACAGTTTGATGCCCCAGGTTGCTGAATTACAGGCCAGTTAAATCTGTATCCATATCGGGACTGTTCTACGAAAGCTGAAGCACGGACCGGAAAGAATGGGGATGGGGAGGAGAACGAACCAGAGTAGAGGTACATAGGAAGACTCTGAGGGCTCGGGAACATCCTGAATCCCTAATCCTCACTCAGACCCCTGGCTAGCAGGCCTAAAGAGACTGTTCCTCTCTTGCTTGAGAAGGCGGGAGAAACCCCTGCCTAAGGGAATTACCTTGCAAGAGTGAACGAATCCCTATTTGTCTCATCCTTACACACACACACACACACACACACACACACACACACACACACACACACTCTGCTCCACTACCATCAGATCACAGCATGCTCTGTGGGGTTGATTACAAAAACATCAAAGGAATTGCAAGAATTCGGTCATTTACGTGGACAAAATGCAGGAAATAAGTATAGGAATAGATTCCGAGTGTGCTGACCCAGGAAGGAGAAGCAATGTCAGATCTAGCTGATTTTGTTGATGTAAGTACAGTACCAGAGGTTCTGAGTTCAAAAAGGTAGCTTTAGTGGCTGGAAGTGGTTCTAAAATTTTGTCTAGTTGGATGATTAGAAATTGGACTCGTGGTGGTCTATGCTAAACAAAGTTGAGATGCCACCAATTTGGGGGATAATGTGGAAGGAGAAAATAAAACACTTCAGGACACAGGAATGATGGAAATTATTGCCACCCATGTTATTCCTTCACTCATTCTCCATCTATGAACCAAAGGACCTAGAAGACACTTCCTTTTCCAAGGCCTTGAAAAATACATTCATGAGTAGAACACTCACACCTGTGAAAAATATTTTACAGACCAGTAAGGCACTGACATCAGTTTGCTCATTTCAATTTCAAGAAAAGTGGAAGACACTAAGCAGTGACATTTAACCACCAGTGAGTGGGAAAGGAGGCATAATTCCATAAACAGGCAGCAAGGCCAGAGTGGTAATTAAAATAGCTTGAATCTTTTACAGTAGCTAATTGGTCACAGTCTTTAGGATTAGAATAAACAGGTTATCTCATTTCAGGGAGAAAGAAACGTGTTTTCATTTGTACAAGGACTACATTAGGACAGGTAAGAATAATTTTTTATATGCAGAACTATGCGGAAAAGGTATCCTCATAGATGTTGGATAGTCAAAATGGCAGACTATAATAGAGGTTCTTTTTGCTGAATTGCTCCTGTTTGGGGAAAAGTCCCAAGATCAGGCAAAGCAGGATTCTACCTCTCACTGCAGAAGCCAAAGTGGAACAGGTAATCCCTCTCCCTATCTCTCTGAAGACAAAATGTGAGCACGTACCCTAAACACAGCCAATCAATTGGTCAGACACAGAGGCAAAGGTCAGCGAGAGATTATTTCCAGCACAGCCCATGCACAACCGCCAGCGTCCGGCGGTGAAGTCCAGCACTGTGGTGACTAGGGAGGACGGTGCCAGCAGAGACACGTGAGGCCAAACACCAAGTGACACCTTGGCTGCTCTTGCTGCCCCTGGCTCCTGTCTACGCCTGGTTCTGCAGCTTGCCTAACAATTCTCACACAGTTTCTCAATATCCTTCCAATAAATTCCTCCTGTGGTTGAAGATGATGGCCGTGACCCGAATTCAAGAACACGGACTAGTGCAGAGGTATATACGCACTTTAGGAAAATTATGCCGTCAGGACAGAAAACAACGTACTGCCTATATGTGCACTGCTTCCTGCAGCAGGCTGGAAATTAAATAAACTATAATGATGGGCTTATGCTCAAAGCCCAAATATTTACTTCTCCCGTTAATAAGTTAGAGTGAATCAAGTAAAACTATAGATGTTAGGTCATGTTTTACAAAAAAAAAAAAAAAAAAAAAAAAAAAAAAAAGAAAAAAGAAAAAAAAAGGTCATGCTGCTTAACCTATTATTTCTAGGTTGTATTAAAAGGCATGGTAATATTTATTTCTCCCTATTTGGCTGTCCTTAGCTGATTTTAAAAGGCAATCTTCAAAAAATCTTAATTTGTCTCATATTTTTAAAATGTTTATGCTTTAAAATACTACTAAAAAACCACAGAATCTTTTTATACAGTACTAGTTAAGCCTTATAGAATGTTAACCCCCTCAAAGCTGTAAGTAATAGAAAACTCTGGGGAAAATTAGATATATTTAGTAAGGATGAATTGGAATCACAGAAATTTATAACCAGAAGATCAACTGACTAGACTCCCATTCAGTCCTAACTTGCATCCTGCTTGTCTAATGTGATTTGTTATTTGTTAAAGTCATTAAGGAAAGTATAGAACATTTTTGCTTAGTGGTTCTAGTTGCCAACACCTAAAAACCAGTTTTGGGGGATATTTTTTCCTTGTATGTTTACCTATGTCATACCTGTTACATTTCCTTTTACATTTACAGAGTATTAAATGTAGCTTCTTCCCAACCTTCATGCACTATGGTGGGAATGTAAATTGGTGTAGCCATTGTGGAAAACAGTATGGAGGTCCCTCAAAGAGTTAAGACTCGAAATACCATATGATCCAGCTATCCCACTTTTGGGTACTTATCCAAAGAATTAAAAAAACATTAATTTGAAAAGATATGTGCACCTCTATGTTCACTGCAGCATTATTTACAATAGCCAAAATACGGAAGCAACTCAAGTGTCCATCGATAGATGAGTGGATAAAGATGTGGCACGTGCACAAGCACGCGCACGCACGCGCGCACACACACACACACACACACGCTGAACTATTACTCAGCCATAAGAAAGAATGACACTTTTTTTTGCCATTTGTGACAACATGGATGTACCTAGAGGATATTAAACTGAGTGAAATAAATAAGATAAAGTCAAATGCCATGTGATTTCACTTGCATGTGGAATCTAAAAACCAAAACAAAGCAAAAAGCAGAATCTGACCTGTAAACACAGAGAACAAACTGGTGGTTGCCGGAGGAAGGGAGAAGGGGGTAGGGGGAAAGGTAATGGGCAAAACGGGCAAAGGGGACAGGAGGAGACAGGCTCCCAATGATGCCATGAGTGAAAGGTATAGGACGCAGAATGTAATGAATGGTACTGTGATCGTGTTGTATGGTCCCGGACGGTAGCCACACTGGTGGTGAGTTCAGCACAACACACACACTTGTTGAATCTCTCTGTTGCACACTTGTAACTAATGTGACATTGTGTGCCAACTATACTCAAATTTTTATTTATTTTTATTTAATAAGCAAACATAAAAAAAAAAGGTAGTTGCTCCTCAAACTATGTGTAGTAACTCTTCGTATACTTAAAGGTAATTACTAATTCAGCCCTCCGCATTTCTCTTCATACTCAACCATGCTAATTCCTTTAGTATTTCCTTAAGAGTCTGTTTTCTAGTCCTTTCCCCGTATTCTCGAAACCGAATGCCTATTTGCCAAATCTTCCAAACTGCAGAACCTAGTATATCCTGAAAGCAGGTCAATGTGAAAGAAGAGACCAGTTTTTGGGTAGGTGAAGATGTGTCCCTGGAGAAGAGAATCAAACAGGAATCAATGACATGGAGCATGGGGGTGGAAGTGGTCAAATACTTACCCGACCATTCTTAATACAAGTGCAAGGTTAGAAGAAACACACTGTGGAAAACGAGATAAAATGGGTTTGCTTTGTGTTTCTTCCTTTTTTTTTTTTTTTTAACCTATCACCAAAGTCCTCTAAAAGAGTCACGTAACAAATTATTAGATTTGCTCTAAAGCAACAGTCTTAAACTGCCTCAATACTTGCTAAAATGTAGGTAAACTGATGAGTAGTTTTTACCTGAATGGCACTTCTTCCTGTGGAACATCCACATAGTAACGGATAAAAAATCTCTCCGAATCTTCTCGCTCACCATCAGTAACAACACTGCCATTAAGTTTGGAGACGGATGGCAATCTGTAAGTAAAAACCAAAATAAAGACATGTTAAGATACTAAGAATATTCAGCTTTCGAAATAAAATCATTGGTTTGAGGCCCAGTCTTATTCTCTTGAAAGGACATGTTTGATGTAACTCTGCTTATCTACAACTACCTACATGAACTAAAGTGGTATAGAATTAAAGGATCCAAAATGTCTAAAGTCTCGTTAAAAATTTATTTATTTATTTATTTATTTATTTATTTATTTA